TTCTACATGTTCGAAATTACCTTGGTTTTCGTCGTCAGTACTTCCGGTCGTCACCGGAAGTGTTCAAAGAAATCGAAAATTTCAACTTTTCTTTTTTTTAATCAAATCTTGCATCACATTATTGCAACTCTTTCACAGTTTTGAAATATGTTGGTCCCACCGGAAACAAAAACGACTACTTCCGGTTATAAGAGAAAAACTACATAATTTGAGTATTTTACTTTCCCATAAATATCTTTTATAGGCAAAGTATTTGAAATGATTTTTAGATATGTTATTCAGATTGAAAATGTCTATAATAACGTCAAATATCTTTGCAAAATTCACTTCCAGTCGCGTGTTTTTCTGTCCTCAAAGTGAGAAAATATCTGAGTGAGATCTCAGAAACGGTAAGAGATTTAGACACCAAACTTTTATGAGTAATAGACCTTGAGGAGTAGACAAAACCATTTGGGTTAAGAGCGTCAGTCGTCACTTCCGGTCGTCACAGGAAGTGATCAAAGAAATCGAAAATTTCAACTTTTCTCTTTTGGAATAAGACTTGCATCATATAATTGTATCTTTTTCACAGTTTTGATATGTGTTGGTACCACCCGAAACAAAAAAAAAAAAAACAACTTCCGTTTATAAGAGAAAAACTACACAATTTGAGTATTTTACTTTCCCATAAATATCTTTTATAGGTAAAGTATTTGAAATGATTTTTAGATATGTTATTCAGATTGGAAATGTCTATAATAACGTCAAATATCTTTGCAAAATTCACTTCCGGTCGCGTGTTTTTCTGTCCTCAAAGTGAGAAAATATCTGAGTGAGATCTCAGAAACGGTAAGAGATTAAGACAACAAACTTATATGAATAATAGACCTTGAAGAGTAGGCGAAATCATTTGGGTTAAATGTCAGCCGTCACTTCCGGTCGTCACAGGAAGTGATAAAAAAATCCAAAAATTAAACTTTTCTTGTTTAAATTAAAACTTGCATTACCTTATTGCATCTCTTTCACTGTTTTGAAATATGTTAGACTCCTCCGGAAACAAAAACGTCAACTTCCGGTTTTAGGAGATAAAATACGTTATTTCGATATTCAACTTTCTCATAAATATCGCTTATAGAAAAAGAATTGAAATGTTTTAATACATGTTGTAGATACTGCAATGTCTAGAGACACGTTAGAGATTTTTTTTTTTTTATAAAATTCACTTCCCGTCGCGTGTTTTCCTGTCCTCAAAATTAGAATTTTTTCTCACAATTGCTTGGCAACAATAAACGACTGAAATCTGAAACTTTCAGGACTTATAGTCTGTCATTAGTTTATTTGCATCGTATGAAAATCATGTGTCGCCGTTACTTCCGGTCGTGACAGGAAGTGATGCAAAAAAGTGAATGGTTAATGGTAAGCACGTTGGATTTTAATGCTGTTGACCAGGGCTAAATCTCCAGAGTGTCTGAATTTCTTTTATCACTCTTTCAGCTTGAATTTTCGTTTTTATTTTCAGAATCGGACGGAAGACCTCTCATTGCTCGCAATGAGTTTCTAGTTATTATTATTTTTCTTCCTAGGTACTTTTTTGTCCGTGAGTGATCTCCGAAACTACACATCCGATTGATGTGAAACCTTTTTAGGGTTAATAGGAATGTTATGTAGATTTGCGGAACGAAGGTCATTTTGCGCGCAAGTGCATGCACGTGCGTGCGCGTGCAATACGTAAAATGACCAATTAAATTGATAAAGCTGTAACTTTTATATTTTTTGATGAAATGCTTTGATACTCAGAATATAAGGATATATTAATAGTGTAGACAAGATGACAAGCCCAGAATGCGTATGCATGCACGTGCGCGCATGCGCATTGATTGAAATAACCAATACAATTGATATAGACTTAACTTGTACATTTTTTGATGAATTGCTTTGAAAATCAGAATATTGATATAAATTATAAGTGTAGACAAAAAGGCTTGATCAGCACACACATGCATGCACGTGCGTGCATTGAAATAACCAATACAAATGATATAGACTTAACTTTTTTTGATAAATTGCTTTGATTCTCAGAATATAAATATATATTGGAAGTGTACACAACATGACATGATCTGCGCACACATGCATGCACTTGCATGCACGTGCGTGCGCGTGCAATGATTAGAATGACCAATATACTTGATATAGCCAAAATTTCCATATCTTTTGATGAAATACTTTAATACTCAGAATATAAGGATATATTAATAGTGTAGACAAGATGACATGGTCAGCATGCACATGCTTGCACGTGCGCAATGATTAAAATAACCAATACAATCGATATAGACTTAACTTGCACATTTTTTGATGAATTGCATTGAAACTCAGAATATAAAGATATATTAGAAGTGTAGACAAGATGACATGGTCAGCGCACACATGCATGCACGTGCGTACGCGTGCAATGAGTAAAATTACCAATATACTTGCTATAACCATAACTTTTACATTTTTTGATGTAATGCCTTGATTCTCAGAATATATAGACATATTATTAATGTAGACAAGACGACATTGTCAACATGCACATGCATGCACGTGCGCAAGCATGCAATGCTAAAATGACCAATATACTTGATATAGCTGTAACTTTTATACTTTTTGATGAAATGCTTTGAACTCAAAATATGTAGATATATACTAATAGTATAGATAAGATGACACGTTCATCATGGATATGCATGCACGTGCGCGCGCTTGTAAAGCGTTAAATGACAGATATACTTAATATAGCCGAATTTTTTTTATCTTTTGATGAAATTTGAATATAAAGATGTATTAAAAGTGTAGACAAGTTGACATGGTCATTTTGTACATGCATGCCAGTGTGCGTGCGTGTAATGCATTAAAAAATATACTTGATTGCCTTATTTAGTCAAATACATCTTAATATTGCCAATTCAATAGAATATGTTGAACCTAGAAATCAGTCTGTGCATGTGATAAATCAAAATATGGAATCAGATGCTCAGAGACAATTAGATGTACCCCAGAGTTTTTATCTGAGGGAAGATGATCATGATTCAGATACTGCAGATTTAGAAAGCGATGACAATATAGTTCACCCGAACAATATTTTTAGTAGCTCTGATAGTGAGTCTGATAATGAGGACAAGAGGACCATGTCACAGAAACTTGGGGAATGGTCTACAACCTTTCAGATACCAAATATGGCTTTGTTATCTCTGTTAGATATTTTAAAACCATATTTCCCAGAATTGCCAAAAGACCCCAGAACTCTATTGCAGACACAAACATCTTATAATTTGTCAGAGGTTGGCGGAGGGCAATACTATCATTTTGGTATTGTTTTTGGCATATCTCAAAAAGTTGAACCATGCCTTCGTTTCCTTGAAGATGAATATCGTTTTGCTTTGCAAATAAACATTGACGGTTTGCCTTTGTTCAAAAGTACCAATGATCAGTTTTGGCCTATTTTAGGTAGGATAAGAAACATTACTGATGATTCCCCATTTGTTATTGGTTTATTTTCTGGACAAAGCAAACCGAACAATTTAAACAATTTTCTTCAAATCTTTGTTGATGAGTACAAGGAAATACGAGAAAATGGATTAGATATCCATGGCAAGCATTTCAGTGTAGCAATAGACTCGTTTATTTGTGATACTCCAGCAAAGGCATTTGTGAAATGTGTTAAAGGCCACTCTGGCTACTCAGGTTGTGACAAATGTACCCAGAGCGGTGTTCATTTGGGTAAAATGACCTTTCCTGAAACCAATGCACCCATATGAACAGATCCCTCATTTGACTCATTATCTGATGAAGATCACCACAAATGCATTTCACCTTTAGCGGAAATAAATGTAGGCATGGTGACCCAATTCCCTATAGATTACATGCATCTAGTATGTTTAGGCGTTGTCAAACGATTGCTTTTGCTATGGCTAAGGGGACCATTAAAGTGTAGACTAGGTTCACAAGATGTAAACAAAATATCTGAATCATTATTGTCTTTGAAAAATTACATTCCTTGTGAATTTTCCCGAAAACCACGCTCCCTAGATGTCATAGATAGATGGAAAGCTACAGAGTTCAGACAATTTCTGCTGTATACAGGTCCTCTTGTCCTTTTGCAAGTTGTACACAACAATCTGTACAAAAATTTCATGCTTCTCTCTGTTGCAATTCACATTATGTTGAATGATCGTTTGTGGGAAATGTATTGTTCATTTGCTCATGATCATCTTGTTGCATTTGTTACACATTTTGGTCAAATTTATGGGAAAGACATGCTAGTGTATAATGTTCATGGGTTGGTTCATTTGTCAGCTGATGCTTCAAAATATGGGAATCTTGATAATGTATCATCCTTTCCATTTGAAAATTTTTGGGGAGACTTAAACGTATGGTTCGTAAACCATCCTTCCCTTTGCAGCAGATTATCCGTAGACTTTCAGAGGAAAGGAATGCTCAAAGTACTAAAAACCCTGGAAAACATTACCCAGTTTTAAGGAAACAACATCAAGTTGGACCTTTGCCACCCTGTCTTTCCAATGGTATTCAATATGGATCAGTAGAAACTCCCAAATTCAGTATTAAATTGAATCAGAAAGATAGTTGCGTGCGTGTAGGGGGACAAATAGGTGTGGTAAAAAATATCATTTTAGATGATGCCGACACTTTTGTTGTATACCAACCATTTAAATATTCGGAGGATTTCTTTGATATTCCGGTACCTTCTGGTTTTCTTGGAATACAAATTGTTCATGATTTGGACACTACTGAAAGCGTTTCTAAATTGTCTGACATCCAAGCAAAATGCACTCTCCTTCCACATAAAGGGAAATATTTGGCTATCCCATTCACGAGTACTATCTGGTGAAATTATGCTATGTTTTATAAGAAAGTATTTTTTATATGTACTGTAGTTAGATATGTGTGAAAATAAGGTCAAGTAATTCAGAATATATATATAGCGTCATAAGAAAAATTTACTTGTTTAATTGATCTGTGATAGGTCTATGTACGCAGTGGTTGAGTTTATTGATGAGGGCTCTGTTGCTGTCGTTCCTAAGACCTGGCTTACTGATGACAAGAAAAAGTGCAAATGGCCGATGTGGACAAAATTAACCATGCTGTTAAACAGTCTATGGAGCCTACACCTTCTTTCATGTGTCTTTCCATCCGAGTGTTGTATGAATCTGGTAAATATATATACTCCTTGCTAGAAACTTTGAAAAATTTAACGAAAAACCCTAAAATAGTTTGATCTATTTTTTCTTAAATATATAAGGTACAGAGTTTGATAAAGAATGAACATAATAATGAGTGAATAACAAATAAACATCAAATATTTATGTTATTATCCAAATTTATTTTGTTACAATATTTTTTTACACACTCAGACGATTATGAAAAGGCTAGAAAAAGGCTCTCAAGAGCAGAAGTTACATCAAACTTAGAGAGTGACCAGGCGGATGAAGAAACAGACGCAGTCCCGAAAAGAAAGAAAAGGTACTTGTATGATTGTGATGGCTGTGATTTTCAAAACATTTTTCTTATACTTCTCGTTATTAAGTTATTCTTAATTGTTTTGTTTTGCACTAAAATCATTTCAGACCTAATCCAAGATATGATTCCCTTTCCTCTGAAAGCGAGGGGGAGAATGAATGCAATATAAGCCAGGACAAAACTTCAGGTAGCCTTCGAAGATCACCAAGAAAATCAAAGAAACAATTTCCAGACCCCCCACCACTCCCTGCTCTTCCTTCACTTGCATCACCAGCTCGAAAATCAGCACCCTCAACCCCGTCGGCTAAAGCAACATCAAGTACGATATCATCACCAACTTCATCTAAAGCTGCACTGGATTCAACTCCAAATCAACAAATTACAGGTAAACAGGATTTATTTATAAGTATACAGTGTACATTATGTACCTAGATATGTGCAATTATTTATGTATTTTTTATACCTCCGCTTGAAAAGTGGGAGGGTATATAGTGATCGGGGTGTCTGTCTGTACGTCCGTCCGTCTGTTACGCTTTAGGGTACCTATCTCTTATCCGCAACTCCTCTTATACCACTGAATGAAATTTAATGAGACTTTCACAGAATCTTTGGTACACAATGCCATTGTGCACCTCCTATTTTACTTTTTGATCTGACACTTATTTCGGTTCTCCCAGGGCAAAACATGGACTTTGCCATAATAATCATATGGGAGACAGGGGTATCATTTAGTGAGTTCAGTGCTCACAGTACCTCTAGTTTTATTCAAATTTTGTTACAGATTTATTTATCAAATTTAAATTCTATCAATTTAATATTTCTGAGATTTTGTACACAAAAAAAAATTCCAATGTATATTTAAAGATAATTGATTACTTTTTTAGCAACGAACATCAAAATCCTCACTATTTTAGAAGATATAAAGGGACAAGTCCGATTCAATACGAAATTACTACAGAATGTCTTGGCAAAGGTTGAGGTTACTGGAACCACTACTACTACGGAGGATGAGGTAGATCTGGGAATTGAATTTCCCTTGAAAACCCTAGAGGCATTGGACTCTTTAAAGGAACAATTGAAGTGCCAAGAAACCGCCAAAATAATGGTAACTCTAATAAATACTGTGCATTATTGTGAACATTTATAATAAATACTGTTCTAAAAATTCATCAATTTTACATGTATCTAAAAGTTGTTTCAGTTAACTAATTACAAATTGTGATTTTAAGCTTGGAAAACTGATGTGCATTGGTGGTGACAATATCCAAACCTGTGTTCGGAGAGTATTATCATTTTTGATGGCAACAACTTTGGCAATGCAATTGAATTGGAGTGGGAAAGGGAATAAAAGAGGGCTCTCCAGTCTAAAATTAAAAGACATAATTATAAGTAAGTAACAGAGTATTGAACATCTTTCTCTCAAGTTGTCTAAATCTAGCTACTTTCTATTGTATAGATAATTACGATTTTGATAAAGATACCAAGGTTTATAAATCAACATGCACTTATATATATTTGTTATTGCCTTTGTAATGTCTACATGTTGATGTCTATACCAGTAATTTGTTTTCAACACCAAATTCTTTTTATTTTCAATCAGAGGCTGTGAGGAAAAATAAATTTTGCAGTGCAGTTACGGACAGTGAAATTGAAAACTTGTTAAGGACTGGCTAAGGTACGCCAAGGATCGAGATGGGGGGAGGAGAAAAAGAAAGAGATCGAAGGAAAAGGACAGTGAGGAAGCAAGCCAGGATTAAAAACTTTAATTATTTTCCAAAAGTTTTCATCATCATCTTTTTAATACTACTTTTGTACTTTTTGACAATTTAATTGATATAAAAATCATTTTACAGGGAATCATTTGTAATGTTTTCTTTCTACTCATATGCATTGTGAATGCAGGTCAAAGTATATATAAAGTGTACTCTTTCAATATTCATGATATGTCAATATAAGTATAATTAACAAATATATATTTTTTCATTCAATTTGTTTTAACAGATGTAGATTATATTCAACAACTGGCCAACAAAAAGCTTTAGAGCAATAAGCCGCCAATATCGGTCAATCATTTGAGTATAACCAACAAGGGTAGGGCCATCATTGGGCCAACCTGAAGGACCAGTTGCATCTATATGTTGGCTGTTAATTGGCTTAATATGTTATCTACGTTGGCCCAACAATATGCCAACGTTTCCAACTGAGGGCCAACATTGGGCCAACCTAACCAACCATTTACCTATGTTGGCTTTTAGTTGGCTTACAATTATACCTACGTTGGCCCAACAATATGCCAACGTTTCCAACTGATGGCCAACATTGGGCCAACCTAACCAACCATTTACCTATGTTGGCTGTTAGTTGGCTTACAATTATACCTACGTTGACCCAACAATATGCCAACATGTTGGACCAACGTTGGGCCGATGAGCAAAATGACCGTGGGCCAACGTAGGAATACCAACAGTGGCCCAACGTTGTAAAAAAAAAAATGGGCCAACGTTGGCCCAACATTGTCTTGCTATCTGGGTACATTGGTTTAAAAAAAAAATTTACAGATTGGATTTTCATTGCCTTAGGCGTTTTTATTGTTATAGACGCACTATCTGTAACAATATATATAATCATCAGGGTACGCAGACGCTCACGGTATCAACCACCCGGCATCACTCTTTCCCCTCTTTATAGTCCAGACACCACGACAATCGATCCAAGGCACTCTACACTAACGTCATCAGAAGAAGAAATTTAAACAATACCACACTTACATCTATATCGTCGGAATCAACACCAAAAAAGGCGTTCACACCTATAGATACATCGTCAACCCCTTCGGAATCTAACGTTCAATCCGATAGCACCATTGCTGTTTTACCGGTTACCTCGGAAACGGTTTCAATTACTGTTGGAAATATATGAAGATAACTAACAGTATTCAAACTCAAAAGTCCATTAAACAATACAAAATAGGAGCAGAGCAAACACAGACCTCCAAACATCAGAGGTGGGATCAGGTGCCATGGAGGAGTGAGCATCCCCTGCCGACCGGTCACACCCGCCGTGTGCTCCTTGTCATGATCGGAAAATAACGGGAAAATCGTTACAAATCCCTTGACACTAGAAATTACCGAAGCAGTGGGTGTTACTATGGGCGATGGCAAAACGTCGCGATGGTTGTAAATAATTTTTGTTTTGAAATTCGTTTATAAAAATGATTTATTTTTATGAGACATGTTTTATTCATTTTAAAATATAATATGTTTCATTCATTTCCTTTGGAAGAGCTTCAATTTTTTTTAATTCAATAATCTGTAGATAATTAGATATATTACTATATTACCTATTGATTGTTATTTTTCTATATTCAAGTTATTAATTTTTTAACAATGTAACTGATTATTGTCACTTTTAGTTTCAATATTATATTGTTTTTTTTAATGAAATATTTTATAAAATATTTTACAATTCAGTATATAAAATCGATATAGATGTATGTCACAACCTTTTTTATTTTTAATGTTCATGAAATTTTACAATTTGATCAATACGGAAAATTCAGCTTATGTTCTAATATGCAGAGGATTTTTTTTCCCCATCAATTATGACATATTACTGCATTTAATGATTTTTGTAGATTCTTTTTTTTGTTTAGATTATGAACGTATTTTAAAATAATGTATATGTCAAACCATTTTATTATTTTTTTGTTGACCTTGTTTTTTGTTTTGTTTTGTTTTTATTATTTAATTATTTCTAATATAGAACAATAATCGATCAATTGTTGATTAATAAAATATTACTGCGACTAACGTGTGTTTGTCTTCGTTCTAAATTGATTAAACAGTTTAGTCACACAGGCGCTAAGATTACAATGACATGATAGACACTCGGACATAAGTGAAACTTGGGGTACAATGGTGAAAAATAGTTTAGAAAAACGTGACAGTTTTAAGTATCCTTGTGAACTTTGGTATTGAATGATTGAGAAGCGCGATTTTGCTCTCATCGAGTGATAACATGGTATTCTAATATTCATGTGGGTCAATGAGAACTGTGTTACTAAAGAAAACTGTGGTGATTTTAAGCCAACAGTGAACTCAGGTGTTTAATTTAATAATACGCTACAACTGAAGATAATAACCTTGATAATAACACGGTATTCTTATATACATGTAGGTCAATGAAAACTAGTCTAAAACGTACTGAAATAAAGATGCGATTTTTGTTTTAAATCAACGTTTAAGATGGACCCATGGCACGCAAAGTACACATGTCATAGATGTATAAAGAGATTTCCTAATTATTCGTCTTTTCGTGCACACGAGAGAGTACACGAAAGGTTAGATCAACTAGAGCAAGAAAATCCATCCAAGATCAGAAAATTAAATAACAAAAGGGGAGAAGAAGGTAACAATGACACAGAAATTACATCTCAGGCACATGTCTGCAGATGGTGCTTGGACTCTTTTCCTGGTAATCAAGTAGAGTTATTCCGCTTTCATCAGAATATGCATAGAGATGTAGAAACAAACCAGACAGGCGGCGGAGACAGGATGTCCTACAACATTAAGAAAATAATTAAAAACTCTGAAAAAGAATGCTGCAATTGATAGACATTTTGTCGTAAAATTTAATGGAGACCGTGGGCAAAAAAATCAAAGATATTACGCAACAGCTACAGAATATGTTTGGGGATATTATAAGCGATACCACACGCGATCTCAGTCCTAGCGATTTAATTAGATTAGAATCAATCATGATCAATTAGACAATGCCATCTATGTCCCTCTCAGACCCATTGGAGACGATTCATCAGAGTTGGTGCTGAATCACATAGAAAATGTGCTGACGAGCCACGAAGATCTCCCCCTCGATCACAGTTTATACATAGATGTCGGAACGATACAAGTTCCTTCGGGTATGATTTATATTTTTTTTTCAAAGAAATTAAATAAACATGTAGAGACATTCATATACAAAAAAAAAAAAAACAGTTGCACATGTTTGATATAGCTTTTACACATAACTGGCTACATGTATTTATATGAATTTTCACAGGAGGCAAAGGCAATGAAATACATGCTATTACGGGTCCTGATAGCTCCATCCGCTCAAAGAGATCAATTGTAGAGATAATCAACGATGACTACACGTGTATGGCGCGTGCCACAGTCATGGGGTTTTGTCGCAGCAAACCAAGTTTCTACAGAGGTATGGAGGCAATTGATAAAGGATAAAAGTAATCAGAACATGGAGGAAATGGTGTGGAACGTGAAAAAATGTCCTGTGTGGTATTATTCAAAGCTAAAGCGAAGGGATCAAACGGGAAATTGGCCGACTAAATTGACACATGTGCTCTGTCATCGAGGTAACATACCCATCAATCGCAAGTTAGGTCTTACTGATGTTCCGGCTCTCTAGAATTCATTAGGGTTAGACATCTTGGTAGTTCAGGCTGCGGGAGGAAATAGGTTTATACGTACTCCTCCCGAAGAAAGCACAAAACAGAGGCTATTTCTGTATCTTGTGGAAGATGAACGATTCTATTTCCATTTTCACGCCATTGACAATATTTGTGGATTTTTCGGAAATGCAAAATTTTGTCATCATTGTCTTAAGCCATACAAAAATAATCACCAGTGTCAGAAATCATTTATTGTCTGTAAACCTAAAAGCCCTTGTCAGATTTCAGGTTGTCAGATGAGCTGCATTCATTGTCACATGACTTGCAGATCTTTGGATTGTTTTAAGAGTCAATTACAAATACATGGAAAGCAAAAAGAACCCTCATGTGAACGTTGGTGGAAGTGTACAAAATATTTTACAACACTCGATAGAAAACAGCGTGACCCACATCTTCTTGTTTGTGGGGAATGGTTATGTAAAAGTTGTGACCATAATTGTAACATACGTGCAAAAGAATGTAAAGAAGTTAACCCTAGATTCATCTTTGATTTTGAATGTACTCAAGAAGATTCGATGCTACGGTGCTCAGAAGGTTATGTTTCAAAATATAACCCAGACTGTCCAGATTGCAAAGAAAATGATATGAAATATGTCGCCTGTACTTTGTGTAAACTGCATGGTGCAGTAAATGCGAGCATCTTCCCAACTTAATCTTTGCGCGTAAAGTCTGCGAGATGTGTATTCAAGACGTGAACATGTTTTGAAATGTGATTCTTGTGGCACACGATGCAATAATTGTAACAAGTACAATTCGAAAGAAAAATGCTATGAAAAGGCACCTTGTCACAAGACCTGCGGCTTTAGAGAAAAAGTTTTCAACGGTGAAGAAATAAAAACAGAATTTGGTAGATAGTTATTTTCAAAACAACTCAAAAATTTCACAGCCATGGCTCATAATATCAAGGGGTATGATGGGTACTTTTGGTTAGAGTATCTCATTTCTAACTCCATTGTCCCTCAGCTGATTACAGGAACCAAAGTTATGTACATACATGTGGCCAACGGTTTAAACAACAGAGTGATAGACTCCCTTAACTTTCTACCCATGAAATTGTCCAAACTACCAGAACCTTTTGGTCTGCAAAAATTGAAAAAGGGATATTTTCCACACTTTTTCAACAAGCAAGAAAATCAAAATTACAGGGTCCATACCCCCCTCCCCCCCCCCCCCCCCGCCGAGTGTTACGGAGCTGATACTATGAGTTCAAGAGAGAGGGGTATTTTTCACGAATGGCACAAAAAAGTAGAATCGGGGGAAATCGTTGACTTTAAAGTAGAAATTTTGGAGTATTGTCGAAGCGATGTCGATATTTTACTTCAAGCTTGTCTCAAATTTCGAGACCTTCTGATGGAAATCATCGGAAAACGCGAGACTATTGTGCTAGAGGACGGCACACCTGATGTAATACTGAAGGGCGGTGTGGATCCGTTCAATCACATAACCATCGCAGGCGTGTGCATGCAAATTTTCAAAAGTACTTTTCTGAAAGAAAATTACAGAGTTAAATTGCGTTGCGACGAAAATGTAGCCGACTGGTTACCAGCAATACGTGTGAACAATAAAATGTCAGTCGCTCTCGCGGAAAACAATTTCGTGTTTATAAAACAATTGCAAGAAAACGATTACTTTCTCGAAAAATCGGAATTTGTAAACACACCCATTACCGAAGTACCATCAGCAAGGTATCACAATGATCAATACATTCTCAGTTCCATAAAATGGTTGAAATGGATCGAGGATTGATTGATTGATTATTATTGTTTAACGTCGAGTCGGCAATATTTCAGCCATATTTCGGCGATCAAATCAAGTGTATATGCCCATTTATGAAGTTTTAGGTTCCTCTGGCGGCCCCCAGAGAGCCTACTCTTTTTCGAAAACCAGAGAAACGATCTTTTTCGTGCCCAAGGGGTTGTTATCCTTGACACTGGGCCCCATTTAACGTCCCATCCGACGGACTCAAAAATTAAAAATATGTAAACAGTTAAAATATATATACAAAATTCCTAAGTAATATCATTTTAAATTTTGCAGTAAAAATCAGTTTCATGTAAAAATCCTAAAATTGTATAAACATTTATATTTGCAAAAAGTTCATGCATCGTTTGCACATTTTTAAAAAGTCTACTTTGAGTAGGAGAAAAATCTGTACATTCCAAAAGAATATGATTGATAGTTAATAGGAAGGGGTCATTAAAAAATCTTCTTCTCAAGATCCACTTGGCCAGAAAAGCTGAAACTTATGTGAAAGCATTCTGGGTTATTGTAAATTCTAAATTGTTCAAATCGTGACCCCGGGGGGTAAGACAGGGCCACAATAAAGAATCAAAGTTTTACATTGGAATATATAAGAAAAATCTTTAAAAATCTTCTTATGTGAAAACATCCTGGGGTAGTGTAGATTCTAAATTGTTCAAATCATGACCCCCGGGGTAGGGCGGGGCTACAATGAGGAATCAAAGTTTTACATTGAAATATATAGGAAAAATCTTCTCCTCAAGAACCACTTGGCCAGAAAAGCTGAAACTTGTGTGGAAGAATTCTGGGGTAGTGTAGATTCTAAATTGTTCAAATCACGACCCCCGGGAGTAGGGCGGGGCCATAATAGGGAATCTAATATTTATACCCCCGGATCGAAAGATCCCGGGGGTATATTGTTTTCGTCCTGTTTGTTTGTTTGTCTGTTGTCAACTTTAACCTTGCCCATAACTTGGCCAAAGTTACTCAGGTGAGCGATGTGGCCCATGGGCCTCTTGTTTCAATTGGTGGCACTGTAGCTCTCTGGTCATTCATCTCAATTTTTTTTTTAGACCAGCAAGCTAAATAACTGCAGGTACCCACTCCCAAATAAAAAAAAATCTAAACCAATTTTGATCAAACTCAGTATTTCCATTTTTTGAAAACTTTAATTACCAATTCTGACTATTTATATTTCAAGAAAAGCATAAGCCATGAAGATTACCAATAGGAAAGTTAAATTACAGCTATGCTGAAAAACGATACAAACAAGTTAAAAATACAGTAAAAAAGCCAGGAACGGGAACAACAACAATTTTATTACCCCGCTCTGCATCTTATGAGGAAACTTAAATATCAATTGAAGAATTTTTCCCTGATCATTCATTATGTTTCCCCTTCCAAGGGGAGACATTATTTTTGTAGATTTTCTTATTAAGGTCTTCCGACTTCCTTCGGAAGACCTTATTTTTTTCGTCTGTCTTCTTTTGTTTTTAGCTCACCTGAGCTGAAAGCTCGGGGCATTGTGAGTGTTTGGGAGGGTAGGTTAATATACATATATTTGGAGTTCTCATACTTATGCATTAAAACTATTATTGAAATTATAATAAACTTAATGAATTCTATTTATTATATTATACATTAATTTTGTAGGTCAGACGGGGCATGCAGGCACCTAGCTGCAGCCCTTTACGAGTTGGAGGCATTTCAGGCCAAGTCATGCACTGATGGGAAAAACCAGTGGAAGAAAAGAGTTCGTAATCATGACATCTCCTTGCCAGTAAGACATCTTATTGTTAAGAAAGCCAGGTATGTTTATGAAGAAGAGCAACAGGGAAACTCCACATTGATTTGTTTGACCAAAGGCCATTGGACAAACGACAAACAATGCAAGATCAAGAAAAGAGGGAATTTGACCTTAAATTACAAGAGGTATCTCATATATATATATATATATATATATATATATATATATATATATATATATATATATATATATATATATATATTGTACAGTAACAGAACTCTTTTAACTTGTTAATAAGTAATTAAAAAAGTACTTCCAATTAAATCATTTTCTTGCAATCTGTTTTTCCCCCAACATAATATACAACGTGTACATTTTAGATGTCTGCAAATGCCCAGGCTCTCAATATTTTGATTAACTCTGAGGATTTTCCAAACAAAAGTCATCCTGATCCAAAATTGCAAGACCTCGATCAACTATCTATTTCTTACAAAGGAAAGAAATTCATGGAAAGCCATGCTGGACACATGGACGTTGAAGATTTTTATAATTCCGTCAACTATTCCAAAGAAGATATATCCAACAATAATGAATACACCCAAGGACAAGCTACAAATGAAGCATGGTATGAGATGAGGGTTGGTCTTTTAACAGCTTCAAACTTTAAACAAGCCATCAAGTATATCGATGACAAAAAAGAACCATCAAAATCATTTATGAGAAGCTTGATGGGTGAAAATAGAATGGAAGATCTCGCTTTACCCGCGCCATTAAAATAGGGCAGGGAAAAGGATAATGTGGCCCGACTTCAGATTACTGCGTCGCCAACACAGATGCTTGAGAGTAAAAGAAAATGGGCTTCTTATAAAATGAAGAGTTTCCAGTACTTGGATGCAGTGTTGATGGCATATGCACATGTAAATGCATTCCTCCTCACCCACCAAAAATAGTTGAAATAAAGTGCCCTTATTCTCTGCGTAATGAAAAGCCAAAGAATGTGGGAGTCAAGTCAAAATGTATTTACGACAAAAGCTCTGGGACTTGGATTGTAACTCCAGATTCAGAATATTATGCACAAATACAGGGACAGTTAGGTCTTTATGGCTATGAAAATGCTGATCTGGTTATATACACACAGAAAGGAATTCATGTCTCTCATGTTCATTTTATTAAACAAATTTTCTCTAGTATGGCACTTGTATTGTTTCACAAGATGTATGTTCTTCAAGTGCTGTTAAAACAAAAACATATATTTTCCTTGTATATTATTTTATATATTTTTCATC